TTCCATTTGAATAACGCATTGGATTGTGGGAAAATCAATGTTCATCAACACAATTGTCGCACATGCGCAGTGCGACGACTACCGCGCTTTAATTAAGACAGACGACATTATTACTTACAATATATTTGTAGCACTAAAAGGCGTTATTAAGGTAGGTGACACGACAGTCACATGGAATGGTTGATTTACTGGTATGTTGAACGACCCTTCTTAATAATTCTATTTTAGTGCCTGGATGTGCATGTCCAACAACGGCATGGACGGAATACGACGGTTCATGTTATCGTTATTTTGGTCAAGAAATGTCTCACACAGCTGCCGAAACAACGTGCCAGAATAATTACAATAGTCACTTAGTATCGATTACTAGCTTAAATGAACAGAGGTTCGTGTCCAGCCTAATTACCAGTGACGATGTCAGAGTATGGATTGGTAAGTTTTTTTTAAATATTAAGTAAATCGTGTAAATTGGTGACGAACGTGAAAACAACAAATTTTACTGAAGAGCGACTATGATGAAAATGTTCATGTGCGCCCATTGTTATTTTTGATTTTGGTTTGATGCTATGCCATCTTATATATTCTATCTTCCAGGTGTAAACATGTTCGTTGCAAATTGTTGAATTAACCAGCTAATGCGACACTTTACTATATATGGTGTAATTCACAAAGGTAATACATTATTCTTATACAGGTTTATGGCAATCCACTAACAGTGACTGTTATAGATGGCGAGACAATCCTTCGTATTGTGTTTATCCTAATGTGTACTCGTCGTCTACGTCGTATTCTCAATATACATATTGGGCTCATAATCAACCTGATGATTCTGGTAGTGCGGAGCATTGTGTTCATTTCTTCGATAGAACTGACTACTCCCACCTCTGGAACGACAATGTGTGCAGCACTGACTATGGATTTGTCTGTGAAACAGGTAAAACATAACAATATGTGCCCAAACGATTGTAAATGGAAAATATATATTATGTTTTTATCCCGATTCTCCCGATATTTCCAGATTTTAATCATGCATAATTTTGTGCAGTCCAAAAACGCGGACGTATGGATTGACGTCCATGTATGCGTGCGTGATTCCCCCACCTCGATATGCCTTGGACAATCAGAATCAAATATCATATGCATCATATGTATCTGGTGATACATATGCACGTCAATTCGATTCACGGTCCAATTCAAGATGTCAAATGGCGGCTATTTCAATCTTAATAACTCATCAAAATAATTTTTTGACATTCCGGAACCAGATTTCAGTTGTGCATGGATATATTTTGTTCATATTTGGCACATACATTGAACGTAATAGTATACTGATGCATGTGTTTTTTTCAGATTGGGTTAAAAATGGCCGACTGGTGGTCATGTGCACGTTAATAAGTTTTCTTTATTTATTGACGATAAGTTCAATTTTCTATTCTTGGTAAATGTTTCGGTCATTTTCAGTAAAAAAATATTATTCCAACATATTGTGAAAAACAATGCACCTAGTATTTCGATGGTTTTATGTCAGTACCATGAGCAGATATCTGTTAGAATGTGTTTTCCGTTAAGATAAACTGTTTCTAATGCAATCATTTCTCAAACGTAATAACTCATCTGGCCTATGTAATGCAATTATTTGTTTAAATGATTAACTGGTTTAGCGGGAGTGGATATAAAAGTCTATATTTACCGAGAAATAATATGTGTATATCGTGCAGTACATCTTTGAACTGGTTGGCTTGCTAAACACAATCTCTTCCAAGTGGTCACGCTGTGACACAATTTTAAAGATTACTGGCAGTAACTATGAATGTTGCATTTCTCAGCGTCAAACAAAGATTCAATTGTACTACATTGGCCGAGGAACAATGAATACGACGTCTAAAGTAGAGCGACCATTAAAACAGCAATTATCGGCACTTGATAATTGGGTTTAAAGCGGAGGGTCGTCATCTGCGCACGCGCGAGAATCGTCCTAAGCGACGATAACAACGCAAGCTAAAAACGCAAAGGCTCCTGGGCAATGCTATGGCCATCTTACGCATGCGCATGTGACGATTACCCTGCTTTAAAATATGACAGTTGACATAATTTAAGAATTGAGTTTTATTTTCAGTTCCATGTATGCATATTCTGGCAAACTCAATGCCACTGTAAATATAATTGTTATCTAACATGATCTGTTTCGATAATGGTTCTCCATTCCATAATATATTGTCATGGAGTGCGTAAATCCCAAATTTAAGATCATTTTAATTACTTGCGATACAAAGCCAATATTTAACAATAAGAGAATGCTTTGAAAACACATCGACTAAGTTCCCAACTCACTAATAAGTTTGTCGAGTTTCTACAAAAATTACAGACATAAAATATTTAAGATGTGCAATTCACTATAGCATAATACAGAAGGATGAGCAGAATTTTTTTCATATGAACATTCAAGCACCCGCACCATCAGTTAGTTATACGTGCTACTGTTACCAACCAAATTTCTACGATTAATTTTTCTGGAGATACCGTCAAACCATCGAGGTCTAACTGCGTGAATATAATTAAGACCATTTCGTTGACTTAGACACGACAGGAATTTCGGCTTCCCAAACCTTGGATCAATTCCTATTATTTTTTCAATCACAGACTTTTGGCAGTTACATTTTTTTTAGTTAAACCTGCTCGTATTCGGACAGAAAAATATGACGTTTCCGGGTGACCTAACTAAAGGCTAATTAGTTAAATCGGCGGAGCTCCCCGGGCCGGAAACCGCTGGTTTGATTTTGATCACCTCCCTTAATGGGAATTGTGTTCAATCATAGACCTTAGAATGAGATTTCTAAGGTCTATGGTTCAATGAAGGAACATCTCAGTCAGACTGATTGAACTACCTAGGGATGATGATAGACATGGCCTACCTCAACAAATGTGGCATAATATCACCGTCTCTCAAGTGCCCAGTAGTTTCAATCCTTTCATGGAGTGTCATGCAAAACATCAGTCTCAAGTGCAAGCACATCAAGAAAGTACAATACAGTAACCAACACACTGTTTGGATCAGGTTAGACAGTACAGAGTGGCCGATCTCACCGAAGATTGTCACGAAACTATTCAACTTCTAGCCAAAACTGACACTCAATGTTTTGCCATACCAATGAACCAAGAGTTGGCCAAGTTAGTGACACGCACACCGTGCATTCCAGCTTGGACACGGCCTACTACTGAAGGACACTACTCGGACGTGGGCTAGACCCCCTTTGAGGTTGGTTGCACCATCTTGGTCATTGTCACAGGCGTCTGTTCAATGGCCACCGCAAGCCACGATATGTGCATCACTTTTAGATTGATTGGTCATGGAAAATACTTTAGTGGCCTTGGCATCAGGTAGGAGTTGTGGTGGTGACAGGAAACTTCATTTACTGAGGTTTTACCGGTCTTCCAAGCTGACTTAGTCAGTTTGTGGACTAATGCACTTTTTAGGGCACGAGAGGCTAGATGAAACTAATTCCTTTATCATGATCCTACACTTGATCCCACCTGCTGCATCAAATCAGGAAGGACCATGTTTCAGTCTTTAATGTTCTTTTGCCGTGCTTAAGATAAGCACTTTCCAGCAAGTTGCCTCGTGGCATTTATGCCTATATGTATATGGTAGTGACTAGCTACTGACGATATAAACTACAGGAATTCTTTGCCAAAGAAAGATAGTTTTCTTATGTTTTAGTCACAGCCAGTCAGAGCTTTTCTATTACACACTGTTTTCAAACATGTAGCAATTTCATCAACGTTAATCTCCATATTCAATCAATCAGTTATTGGCTCCGGCGTTAAACGACGCCCTCTCAGGTAGATATGATTCACACGCTTAAACAATTAGTACATACTGGAAGATGTATTTTTTATGAAGTTATGTGTGTCACCACAAATGACAACATCATGATCGCTGTAGCAGGTTATTTAAATTTAATTAAATCGCATTTTAACTTGTCCCCAGTATAACGTAATCCTACAGGTGGTTGGTATACTGTTTCAAGGGTTAACTCAGTTGTATAGCATAGACGTTACAGTACCGATCCATTTTTTGGAATGTGCCTGTGCCTGCCACGTTTAATCATTTGTTAAAGAAAACAGAGTGCAGATCGCGATGATTATTAAAATAACATCGTTCTACCACGATAATTTGTTTGCCTTCTTGATGTGAAATTAGTTCTTTTCATCTGTCCGATGAAGGGTCGTTAATATCACATAACGGCGCACATACTTGACTAATATTTTACCATAAACTATTTTGCACGTTACGGCATTTTCACATGCCTCAATGTATCGAATTTCGACGACTATGAAAACCTTGTACATTGTTGAAGATATGACATTAAAACCGTATTGTCGTCGAGAATTGTCCTTCAATTATTATATTTATTTTAAATGCCGTAGAAAAATAATTCAGGTAATTGAGCAAAAATGTTCAGAAATATCGGTAAGTTTGTGCACTGATGTATTTGTGTTCAATCATCGTCGATACAATTAATAACATACGTTAAATAGCATACGTATGGAAGTTCAATTCCCGTATCCATTTATAAAAAAAATATTACATAAGAAGTGAAAATGACCAGGGTCAAGCTTTACGTCGTGCAAAAATGCGACCACACACAAACATCTCCGTCATACTTTTAGTACAGTCATGCTTAAGCAGAATTCTAAGAGCGATACGCAACACGAACCAGCTCCGAAACAAAGATTACATTCTTAATTACATTCAGGCATAGAAACATTTCATTTACTGTCTAATGTCGCCAGCATCCTTCCATGTTGAGACGCTGATTACGAATACTAATACAAATCGTGCTTTTCATATGTACAATACTACATTGGGAATATGTCTGAATTTAAAGTGATAAAAATAACTCAGAAAGTATAAAGCCTTGTCGTGGTTTAATATTTATTTAATCCATTGACGGATGGGTATATGAAAACACTGTCGTCAGCGTAAAATAGAAGATTCGCGCATTGTCTGGCCACATAATATCCAACACGATTCCGTAATAACCTGTCACTAAAATTATTAATATACAGCATAGGCGTGGAGATTTCCACTTGCCGTTCAGTAAGGAAAAGTACTCTGATTTAAAACAGCCCAAACTTTGATATTTTTACCAGATTACAATCGCCCTTAACAATGAAGATTTTTTTTTGGAATAGGTCCAGAGATATCCACCCTATCAAAGGCTTTGTACGCTTTAAAAAACATAAAAAACAGGATTGTTATGTTAAACAACGCACGCATGGAACTTGTCAACTTCACACTTCGTAGCAGAAAATACAACACCACATCCCCAGCTCATAGTTCAGTCACATTCAACAGCATCAAACATTTGAGAAGTTGTGAATTATTCCTCTTTTCTGTGGATGCTTATTTACGGGATAAAGGTCAACACGCTGCCCATCCTTGCGTGATATATAAGATGTTTGTATTTTACTTGTAAAACGTTCACCATCAAAAACATACGAAAACACTCTCATAGATAATTTATCCCAGCGTGTGTTTGTGTGTATTTATTGTGGTTTCTATGTTACCCTATTTATACTGTCCGATGAAGGGTCATTAATATAGTGCAATGGTAACACGAGACCTTTGATGTCAAAATGGATATTAAGGGTAATCCATAAACTTATAGGGTGGGCTGACTTCGAGGATAGAGAGAAATACCACATTTACTATAGATAAAATAGATATAGATCATTATTAAATATAATTAAATACGACAATAGCAGTATTAGGATTTCGTGTGGCATTCTATGATTTGAATTCATAGATTTGAGTAGTATTTGTCAAAACAGATGTTGTTAACAGAACCATTTATACAATATTCCCACACCGACAATATAAATGAACACTTCCTGTACGCTAATATACATCATCAGCGGTAGACAGTGTGTACACTACAATACGAGATAATCGTTCTCAAGAATTTGTAATCGAAACATATGGATTTCATGTCGAATACAGTTGCTTTCAACGTATACGTGGCGTAATGACGATTTACTTGATGATATTTTTGGTATTTTCTTTCATAAAAGGTGAGTAAACGTCTTGAAATCTAGTTACAAGTGAACATTGACTAAATTACATCATATCCCTATGTGTGACGTCAGTTATAACTGAAATGATTACCAATAAATTAATACTTCTGCCGTACTCGAGTTGAATGATTTATCAGACGCGAACCCAACAGATAAATGCAAACCGTTGAATTTGTGTGTAAGAAATGTTCGCTATTTCCCAGTTCCAATGATTTGTTGACGACTTAGTCCCGTGACACCCTGTTTCAAGACCCCCAGTTAAATCCTTAATGTTATAATATTTCGTGATTTCACATGAAAAATTGTAAAAATATGTCTCGGGAAATTATAGGGGTTTACAGTTTTAGTTGTGTCTTCATAGGTTTCCTTGGAGCATGTCCCACTGTAGACCAATCCTGGCATGAACACGATGGAAGATTATACCGGTATTTCACTAGCATTGCAAGTGCATCAAGTGCCGAGACATCCTGTAACGATGTGATAAACTATAATGGTCATTTAGTGTCAATAACCAGTGACAGTGAACAAAGTTTTGTAACTGGTTTAATTACAGATGACTCGGCTCATGTTTGGATGGGTAAGTGAGATTTAAATTATTATGCCTTCAGGGTAATGAAAATAATCTGTAATTAGCATAAATCTTACACATGCAGTGTAGATATATATTAATTATTACTTGTCTTAAGGCAAAGTCCTTGCTTTTCACAAATGTCCATAAATAGTTATTTTAAAATATTCTAGATTTCGAGAAAGTAGGACAAATATTGTCATATTTGAAACTCTACTTTCTGTAGGCTTATGGCAAACGTCTAACAGTGATTGCTACAGATGGAGAGACGACCCCACCTACTGTGTCTCTGACAATGTAGACACTGGTACATCATATGGCCAGTATACTAGATGGTTGTCATACCAACCGGATGATGCTTCGAGTAAGGAACACTGTGTTCATTTATATGACAAAGAGTCAGGTGGTCATTACTGGAATGATGCGCCTCGCAGTATATCGTATGCATATGTATGTGAAACAGGTAAATTGCTTCAGCCATCTTGATATAATTTGAATTAATTTTGAAAAATAAGATGTGAACATGTATTTTGTTGCAGCCCATGAAGAAGCCCATGAACAAGTCAGCCATTTTTAATGAATATTTATTATATTACGCAACAACAGATAAAGAATAACAACTTAATGTTCAAATAATGCAATAAATGGTGTCGAATACAATCCATTTTGACAAAAATACCTTTAAAAAGTTTCTCGCAGACATGTAAATGTTACTCTACAGCTTGTATTCAACGATCTATGATTGGGTATGTTATTTCCACTTTCCCACGTATTTACTTTGCATGGTCTTCCATTATATGAAAAAAAACTAGCCTTTTATTGTACATAGCTGAACCGATTTGTTGACATTTATTTCTTGACAAGTAACACATGTTGTTGTGTTTCCTAAACGGGAACGGACACAATATACCAATAAAATACATTTGCCAAGCTATTTATTGTTCTGTCGTTTGTACCTCATATTGCACACTGCACGCATGAACAACCATGTTGTAACGTGACACGTATAGTAGTCGAGAAGAATACGCCGTTGTTACATGGCGAACATTGGTACATAAGACGGCATACTGACGTAATATTGGGTATATTTTGCTTTGTTAAAGGGTTGCCTCCTGTTATGCCTCATCTCACAGTAAATTTAGGAACTACAATAACGGCAAACAATTTTCATCGTTGATAAATTACTCCTTAGAAATAACATGTAGAAATTGAATATAATAAACGACATCGCTGCCGCATGTCTACCGTTATATTAAAAAAATATTTCTGTGGATTGACCCAAATTGTTGAACCACTATAATATTGTTTATCAATTCTAATCAAACATTTCAATTACCCGTTAAAATATTTAGCCCTAGTTCTAACTATTTTTTAGAAGGTAAAAAAAAAAAATTATTCTAGCGAAGTTATAAGTTATATGGCGATTAAGTGATGAGTTGCGTACATTCTATCTAATAATCGATATAATGACGTCATTTTCCAGGTCAATTTCCCTCGGTTGCAAGTAGTTCATCTCCCAGTATTGGCGAGAATTCAGCTGTTGGTAGTGTGGTATACACACTCACTGCCAGTGACGACACAGGAGTGTCTACTTTTGAACTGCTTTCAGTATGTAAGTAACCGAGCAATATTATTTCATGTAATTTTAATTCAAACATTTTTTTTACCGGAGTAAACACAGCATGGTGGTCATCTTGGTGTCATCGTACTCCCCACCTCGATATATCTGTGTACAGTACGGGTTCTCACTTGCAATCATTATTGTACGAGTGATATGATTATATTTATATACTATTTCTTTATAGCTGAAGATATTTTCATTCTTGAAAAAACTGGCAGTTTAACGGCAACTATTAAAACAACACGCGCTCTCGATTACGAAGCTGGCGATAGGACCTTTACGTTGCACTTTCAACTCACGGACACAATGGGAATGTGTAGCACAAACTGGGTCACATTCAATGTCGCCAACGAGAACGACCCGGTGAATGTATTAAGCAGTGATGGCGATGCTTATATCGATGAGAATACTGGCGCCAATTACTACGTCTATACACTGTGTATGTACGACCAAGACGGGACTACAGGTGACACAATGTCGTATTCATTCACCAGCGTTCCATCCGGTGGAACTGCTCTCTTTGACGTTGCATCAGCTAGTCTTAGTAATGTTGACTGCAGTGCCTATCCGACGACTACACATGCAGCTAAGGTAACTACCGCTGCTAACGTGAACCATGAAGTGAGTAGTCAGTATGGACTCACCATCACAGTGACGGATTCTGGCGGTGCTACTGATACGCATGCAGTTACTGTGCATGTTGGAGATGTCAATGATGCAATACTAATTACAGATGCAACAACATCCACGCTGTAAGTTCATTGAGCGGTTGTGGTGGTTACAAGTGAAGACAAGTCGTAATCACTCGCGGTGAATATTGCAAAACATGTGTGATATGCATATTTCTGTTTTCATATATTTGAAAGTATGTTTTGTCTGAAAGATGATTATCATAGTTTTATAATAGGAAGATATAGTATTCATCCAATATTTCACATACATCCTTGTTATAACCCACATACCTATATGTTTATTGTTTTGCTCTAGGCGCTACTCAATTCCCGAGGACACGGCTGGTTTGACTGAACTATTCACCGTGCAGTATTTTGATGAAGATGGTGACGTTCCCACGTTTTCGTTGGTGACGGTCAATGGAGCTTCATCGTACAATTTCGAGATAATTGATGAAGATGTTGGCACAGTGAGAGTCACCGATCCGGCAAATTTTGATTGGGATAGAGGCGAAAGACAGTACCTCCTGAAAATCACTTGCACGTAAGTAAAACCATATCGATTACACAATCACTTAAATGTTGGTAAACTATATCTTATTATATACAGAAAAGTAAAATAAGATAGTGACATATTCTGCATGCACATGTACCATATACATGTGTATGACGTAATCGCGATGTTTAACTATTACACAATTCAATAACTTGATCAATGTTCAGTGTTAATGGAATTTTCAAACTTTTTATTTAATATGTATTATATGCAGTGATGTTGGGAAAACGACTGCGACTCAGACCTATACCGTGGCCATTACTGATGTGAATGAACTACCAGTGTTTATCAACTTTCCGAACGACGCGGAAATAGACATATATGAAAACGTTCCAATATGGACAAGCTACAATATACATCCTTCGACTTCGGGTACGGAAGTTGTTTACTGAAGTCGAAGATGATGACAAGAATGACGACAATACTGTCGACACTTTGTACTTCGCTATTATTAACAAAAGTCCTTCCGACGCACCGTTTGACTTTATTGCCAAGACCCAGGGAAGTAAAACTCGCGAAGCTAATATTATCGTAACAGATGGGAGGGTTCTAGACTATGAGGATCTGTTCACGTACACAATGACACTTAGAGTATGTGACGGGCCAGATTTTAGTTCTAGTCTATGCTCACAAGAAGACCTGCAGATAAACATTCTTGATGAAAATGAATTGCCTGTAGTTACTAATGTTCCATCATCACTAACGATCGATATGGATGAAAATCAACCGCCAGATAAACTGTCTCATCTTTTCACATCCTATGATGTAGACACTCCGGGCGATACCTTGAGATGGACATTAACAAATCAGAATCCGAACGATGGAGATCGTCAGTTTGTTATCAATGCTGAAAGTGGATACTTGTATACATCTCCTAACGTGGACCTCGATTACGAGAGTGGAGATATTCGTTACATATTGACTATTACTTTAGATGACGGGACATCTGCGTGCGGTAGTCGGGTGTTCGAGTGTCTTACTGCAACAACATATTTTACTGTGAACGTTATAGATATTAATGAACATCCCACTTTTACCAACCTAATTGACATAGTGAGCATTAACGAAGATGCAGGTGGAGGGGCTGTCATAACAACTATTGTGGAATCTGATCCCGATGGGGATGCTTTGACTTTTGATATTATTGACACGGTTCCAAACAATTCTCCATACGAAACCCCATTTGAAATCGTGAGTTTAGATTCAGTAACAGCTAGATTAAGCCTAAAGGCTGGAGCTGTAATAGACTATGAACGAATTGACGAATATGTGCTGACGGTTATCGTTCGAGACGGTGTTGGTGTTGGTAGATTAACGTCAACGGCCCAATTAACGGTGCAAATTAATGACATCAATGAGCCACCAGAATTTACCAACCTACCCTATACCATTACTATACCAGAGACTTTCCCAGGTAGCACCGAGGTGATCACGTTAAGGGCGATTGATGAAGATCTACCAGGGGATGCTTTGACGTTCCAATTTCTCACATCTGATACACCTTTCGAAATGCCTTCAACAACCGATGGAAAAATATTCACTACAACGTCGCCAAATTTTGATTACGACTCTGGGACAAGAGAATATATCTTGCGATTCCGAGTAAGTGATAATGCCGCTGGTGGCGCTCTCACAGCTGAGGGAACCCTGACTATATGGATTACATCAGAGAATGATAACGCACCATCATTTAGTTCATCTACATTCTCAGTCGACGTGGATGAGGAAATTCCTATTGGATCTTTCATCGCATTTGTACCAGCTACAGACAGTGACGATGGTGATGTCATCACATACATTCTGTCTGGTAAGTACGTTGTTCTTTTTGTCTGACTTGCTGCGTTCACGATTCAAATGCCATGAACATTATATTTCATGGGACATTAGGATGGTTCTCTTTTCATACAATAACTGCACACGTCTGTTAGATTGAGTCACGCGTTTCACTCTCTGCCAGGTAGCCAATACAAGTAACATTTAGTATATATTATTAGTATTAATCACGCCTCTAAATATGAACCCACCAATCAGATGGCCATTATCTTAGTTTCTCTATACTTTGCGCCAATCACAACTCTTATAAGTTGAAAATAATTTATGTTTATCAAAGACAACACTGTTATTATTTCTTGTTGACATTACGTGTGCATGGACGTGTATGGTATCGACACGCCATTATTTGACGTCAATGCTGTCGCACAGACTATGAACGGCAATCAAGTGGTCGATTGTTTACTCTTATACCAGTTCTAATCTCTTGTTCGAACCCCAAAGCAATTATAGATACATCTGGCATACCAATACTATTGTAATGACAAAATACTCACATGTGTTGTGTTTGCTAATGGTCAGACGGTAGATAACACTACAAGTTCACATAGATGTCACTCCCTCGGCAGTAACCTCAAGCAATGCAATTAAATTTAATACGCCACAATGCCCATAATACATATAGCGCACAGTTTATCACGATGGATTATAATAAAATAACGATATATGTCTGTTTGACAACCTAATTTTTATAGATTTTAACTTCTTGCAGTTACACACAGACAAAAATATATAAATATATTATAAAAACAGAAAACACTACTATTTCTACTATTTTGTCAACCAACTCGTTTTCATTTAATTAAATGTGTCGTTGAGAAGAAAATTGAACAATCTAAAACACTTGTTTTAATACTACAGGATCTGGAGCAGAATTCTTTCGTATCGATAACAATGGTTACATCGAGAACGCAATTGTTCTTGAGCGAGAGTATGGTTGGCCAGATTCGTACAGTATTACAGTTTTAGCTATTGACTCAGCTGGACTTACCACTGCGGCCACTGTTAATATCAATGTCAGGGACATTAATGATAATATACCAAGATGCAACCCGAGTGTGTACTACAGGTATGTGTTGTTCAAGTAACTATACAATATGGGAGATGTTTTATTGTATAGGAACTCCGATGAGGCATTATGATTGGAAATACATGTACACTTTTTTTGATTCACAAATTTTGACTTTTTATGTTATCAATTACTGCATGTCGTAGTTTAATACAATATTTTCGAACATATAAGTTTAATTGCGACCGAGAGTAATACATGTAAACGTGGTTAATATCAGTATTATTCATATTATTCGAAACTATAAATTATATATAATTACAATTAGTATTATTATAATGTTTATTAATTATCCGTAGGTCACTGGTAGAAGATACAGCTACGAGTTCTTCTGTTGTACAGTTGGAATGCTCTGACGTTGACCAGGGTGACAACGGAGTATTGTTTTACCAAATATCGCTTGGAAATTCAGGATCTAAATTCTCCATTGGTAAGTTACATATCATTTTTACCTCTAACAATCTTTTTCTTCGTACTTTTACTGAATCCCGCAATTATGTAATCATTCCTCACGAAAAAATATAAATATTTTCATAAATTGGTAAAAATCCCACCGCCTGTGTGCGATTTACTGTGTGATTTATTTTGTAGACCAGGATACGGGACTAATAACTCTTGCGTCGGGGCTAAATATGGAAGCATTGGCAGCTAATGACTACCGGTATACACTGTTTGTTGCGGCAAGGGACCAGGCTGCACCATTTGCCGACAGACTGACATCCACTGCCACCGTTTACGTCGAAGTGACTGGTACTAACGAATATACTCCGTCGTTCACAACAATGCCTCCAAGCGATACTGTTCAGGTTTACGAAAACCTTTCCCCAGCGTCTTACGTAACCACTACTAAAGCTACAGATTCAGACGCCGGTGTTCAGGGCTACGTCACACACCGCATTACAGATGGCGATGACGTCACGCCGAAATTCCAGATTGATGCTATTACAGGAGAGATCACTCTAATCCGTGTGCTCGACTACGAAACGACAGACATGTACACGCTGACAATCGAAGCAATAGACGGTGACCCCTACAGTCCACTGACAGGCACAGAAACACTTACTGTTTCTATATTAGATGTGAATGACGTCACACCTACATTTGAGGATAGATCGTACAAAGCTACCATTTCTGAAAGCACGTCAGCAGGTGATACATGGTAGTAGATGACATGCTACTTAAACCATTGTTAGAATATAAAACATATTTAGTGAGGAAGAGTTGTCTAAATACGTTACTTCTTGGTCTGGTCGAGTTTCCGGAATGCTATGCGACATATTTATATCGTGACTAGTTTCCGATAGGCTATACAATCTGTAATAATTATATAAGCAATTATGTTTTTAATCATGATGAATGTGTAAAAACTTGAACTACGGAAGAATCTCTAAAAAACTTAAATCTAACTTTCCCTAGCCAGGATGTCTGACTATACCAATAAATTTTATCATTTTTCACGGTGATCGCAATAATCAAAGGAATTTGTTCTGCTTATAATACAAAGCGAGAAAAGGAAAAGGGCGTTTCACCTTTATTTGATTTGTTCTGATGTGTGAATAGTTTATTCAAATCTCTGTCCGAAGATACTGTTATCATAAACACAATTCATTTTACCCTAGGGGCTACATTGATTACTATGAGTTGCACTGATGCTGACACACCGATGGCTGGCGTTACATATTCTATAATCCAAGGCAACTCAGCTGGCAAATTCACACTCAACCTCAATACTAATACAGAACAACCTGCTATCGTTCTTGCTAACACTATCGACTATGATACAGAGACAGACAAGTAAGTCCAGAGAATAACTAATAATACATGGATGAAATCATAAATATTTATTTTGAACCCGAAATTACAGAGAACGCTACAAAACACTTACATTTGTAAATTCTTAAAGCGCGGTGATCGTCGCGCAGCGCGTGTTCGAATTTCATGTAAATAAACAGTGTATTTTACGCGCGTTGTATACGTTCGCTATGATTCCCATATCGAACAGGACGCGGCATGACGACTGCCGCCTTTTAATTATTATTGTTCGTATCGTATTAACAATTGGTGTAATAAGGCATTAATTATCAGCGAAATATTGGTTATGCTATTTATGTACGAGTGTGTGTTCATTATATCATGGCGACTGCCTGTTATTATATATACTTAGTTACCGTCTGGTAGTTAACGCAATTGATAATGGTTCACCAAGATTAACTAGTACTACAGTTGTTGATGTATACATAACTGGTTCCAACGAAGACACCCCAGCATTCGGTAGTTCAGTTCCCAATCCCGTACAGGTGGGTTCGATTCAACTAACATATCTATATAGTTGTACACTCATACATATCACATATAGTTATATGTCGACACTCATTGATACATTACTACTACGTGACTTATTAGCAATGACGTGAGATTGTATTTGTGTGTTTCTTCGGTAACACAAAACAAACTTAAAGCGCGGTGGTCGTCGCGCAGCACGTGCTCGAATTTCATGTAAATAAACAATGTATTTTGCACGCGTTGTATACGACGCTACGAGTCCCACATCGAACAGGACACGGCACGATGACTGCCGCCCTTTAACCTAATTAATTATATTTAAAATATTTTTATTCCAGGTGTATGAAAACACAGCACTTGGGACTGTAATGTTCACTGTCGTGGCAACTGACGCTGATTTGGGCGATGATGGCACTCTCGTTTACGAACTTCTTTCCGATGGATCTGGCATGTTTGCAATAGATGCAGATACTGCTACTGTAATATTACAAGGAGAACTGGATTATGATTTAATGGGAGTAGACAAATACTACGACGTTGTGATTCAAGTTTCGGATGGTGGTTCCCCTATTAAAACTGACACAACAACAGTTCGAGTAACAGTTATCGATGTTAACGATAACTTCCCAGAATGCAGTGCGGGTTCTTATACAGAAACAAAAGACGAAGGTATCAGTTCAACTGTTGTGGTGGTTGCTATGAGTTGCACAGACGCGGATGGCGCTGGTAGTGGTTACGGGACGCTGTCTTATACCATAACAGACGGCAATACAGATGACACTTTTGAAATAAGCTCAACTGGAGACATTACTTTAAAATCTGGTCAAAGTTTAGATTATGAATCCGGAAATACCCTCTTTAATTTAATAATTAAAGTAAGCGATTCGGCGTCGGTTTCACCAAATTCAATCAATGTACCTGTGACCATCCACGTGTCACCTGTAAATGAGTATAGTCCAACCTTCCAGTCACCAGGACCATCATATCGTCTAGACATCTCAGAGAGTACATCCATTGGTGAACTGATAGTAGCGCTGTCAGTTGAAGACCAAGATGATCCTGACCATCCACATGGACAATTCACATTCACCATGGTTGACCCGGACGCGCATCCATTCATAGTTGACGTCTATTCGGGTAAGATTTGACAGACGTCTTCGAATTGACGATTTAGCATTTTTTGAGCCAGTCAAAAAAGTGTACTTGTTATTTTATGAATATAAGAAATATTTTTTTATTTCAGGGGTCTTGAGACTGGGATTCCCGTTGGATTATGAAACTATTGATAACTATGATCTTCGTGTAATTGCCACTGATTGTGGATCATTGTCTAACACCGCCAGTGTTAGTATAGATGTATTAGATGAAAATGATAATATACCAGTTTGTACCGTGTCATCGTATAGTACAGCGATACCTGAGGATGCAGCCACCAGTACAACCATAGTGGATTTAGATTGCAGCGACGAGGACAGCACAGTGAGTGGGTTTGGTACCTTGGGGTACACTATCATACAGAGTCCGGGTGACATGTTTTCCATCTCTGGTGGTGAACTGATACTTACAAATGCATTAGATTACGAGACTGATACCGAATATATTATCACTGTAACAGTGTCAGACCAGGGAACCAACGCTAATTCAATAACAGTGCCAATATCAATACAAGTAACACCAGTGAATGAAGCAACCCCAACCTTCACTACCACCTACACTGCCAGTATTACAGAGGATATCGGTCCAGGCGTGTCAGTCGCAGTTGTATTTGCAGCAGATTCAGACTCGCCTACCTACGCACATGGTATAGTATCATACAGTATCACGGCAGGCGACCCAGGAAATAGATTTCAAGTCAATCCAAGCAGTGGACTTGTGACTACTGCTGCTTCTATAGACAGAGAAGATACGCCTTCATTTACACTTAACATCCATGCGGAGGATGGAGGAGATCCTGCAAAGTCTGATGATACGACATTGACTGTTACTATCGTAGATGTCAATGATAACCCACCGGTCTGCAGCAGTACGTCATTTGTACTTGCCATTGACGAGACAGCCGCATCAGGTTCAACATTAACTACTTTTACCTGCACGGATGAAGACG